CCATTCTCTCACATGTGGACCTACCAGCTTTCTCCTGCTTGATTTGAAGCCACTAGAATTATTGAGTATATACAGTAGGGCCCCACTTATATGGTAGGTTCCAGGCTGTCGCCGGAAGGCAGAACGCCATTTTTTCCATTTATAAATGCATATTAATGCCAGACAACAAGTTTACACTAAATTATATTAAGTTAGTAATAGAACTAGGCATTAAAAATACACAAAGGAAAATACATTCACAGTAAGTTCTTTACTTATCTTAAAGTATTTGTAATCTTAATGTAGGGAGAGAGGTGAGTAGTACTTATTTGTAGGAAGTCAGGTGTAGGTAGCCCAGGTGTAGGTAGCCCTGGCTCCCCATCTCATACTTAATATACAATATTTAAAACATCCCAGAGAGGTAAAATACACATACAGTACACTCATTATTTACCTTAAAATATGTGTAGTCTTAATGTAGGAAGAGAGGTGAGTAGTATTTATTTGTAGGAAGTCAGTGTAGGTAGCTGATAGGTGTAGCCTGCCTGGGCTACACCTACTGGCTACCTACACTGGCCCAGAGCCATATTATTAACATCGACATGCCTTGTTCACTGAATTTAATCATTTCTAACAACTACCTTTAGATGCCATCATAAACGAAGGTAGAAGTAATGAATAATTCATGCCGAAAATTGTAAACAAAAGTGAAGTGAGGGAGTGGCTGGGCCGAACGCAGATTCATACACGTTTTCTCTGATGGCTGAGCAGAGAAAACGTAATGTTGTCCCTCCACCCGGCTACCACACAGCTCCACAAGTATTATTATCAGAGCACACATAAAATATGCAATAAATGCCAGACAACAAGTTTACACTAACTTATATTAAGTTAGCAATAGAAATATGCATTAAAAACACAATAAAAGGTAAGATACACACAGAGTACACTTATTACTTACCTTAAAATATTAATATTAATGTGTGAGAGGTGAGTGGCAGGGTGTTTATTGAATAAAATCAGAATGGCACACCATCATCCTCTAACTTGGCACTTAAAGCAAGAGGCTTACGACTTCTCTTTTTATTACAACTAACCTTAGACGCTATCATCAGTGAGAGCCAACTAGTTAATGAAAGAGTAAATGAGAGAGAGAACGAGATACAGAGTTGAGACAATGTAAGAACACAAACTGAACAGGTAGTGGACAATCACTTGGTCAGGCGAAATAAATGCGTATTAATGTGTGTGTACTTTTAGTTCATTCACGTCCATTTGCAAGAGTTTGTAAAACATTTACCTCAATATTTTTTTTATTATAATAATAATTACCTCACAATACAAATACTCTTACATTGTGTACAAGTTAGTTCTGAATAAACAAACAGCAACACACCATTTTTAGAGTGAATAAAGATAATAATATTAATAATAATATTATTATTATTAATAATAATAATAATATTATTATTATTTTTTATAAAAAGCACTAAACTCACAAGGGTCATGAATTGCTATATATAGAGTAAAAGCATACGAAAAGAATATTTTTCTACAGGTATCCCCCAGTTTGATTAGAGAAAACGTAATTCTTCCGACACTACCTACACAGCTGCTTTGTAAACAAGTCTCATATTTACATCAATTTTTATTCTGTGAGTGTGTGTATCATGTTTATATGCTATGTAACGGGTTTCATATATAATTTTGAGGAAAATATCATAGATGGATTAATGAAAATGCCTATATTGATGTAAAATAAGACATTTAGTGTGCCCAAGAGTGATTATTATTACGTAGTATTGGCGTCATGAGTAGAGACAGACTTAGCGATTTTAATGTGTACCTGCACACCAGCACAGTGTGTAAGTATATTTAGGTACAGGTACACATAAGTATAATTATCAGAGTACATATAAAATATGCAGTAACTTTAAAACGCTTGAAATTTTGGAAAGTTTCCTGACATAATAGATGTGGTCACGGAAAATGTAAACAAACCGGGTGAGGGGCGCCGTATTTGAAAGACCGCTTCCCATATAGCAAATTTTGGTCATAATTTGACATCGCAGTATTAGCGGAACACCGTAAGGCGAAACGCCGTAAAGCGGGGCCTTACTGTATATGTCCGAAACACTGGCTCGTAAAACGTATACATGTATATACGGCCAAAACAGTCAAAGGGTTAAAGCAGGTGGAGTATATAGCTTTGGAATGGTTGGTGTCTTTGTTCAATATACAGTGGACCCCCGGATAACGATATTATTTCAATCCAGAAGTCTGTTTGGGTGCCGTTATAGACCGAATTTGTTCCCATAAGAGATATTGTGAATTAGATTAGTCCATTTCAGACCCCCAAAAATACACCTACAAAAGCACTTACAAAAATACACTTACATAATTGGTCGAGTTGGGAGCTGATCGTTATGCGGGGGTCCACTGTATACATGAATGAGGGCAAGGTTCTTAAAGACTGGTATAGTGTATATACATGTATAGGTCTTTTGTATAAGGGAAAGGAGACAGGAGGGAGTACAGTGGACCCCCGCTTAACGATCACCTCCCAATGCGACCAATTATGTAAGTGTATTTATGTAAGTGCGTTTGTATATGTATGTTTGGGGGTCTGAAATGGACTAATCTACTTCACAATATTCCTTATGGGAACAAATTCAGTCAGTACTGGCACCTGAACATACTTCTGGAATGAAAAAATATCGTTAACCGGGGGTTCACTGTATAAGAATTATAAGAAAATATGTATATAAGGGATATGTTATGTATCTTTATACATATGCTTCTAAACTGTTGTATGGGTGCCTCTGCAAAAAACAGTGATTATGTATGAGTGAGGTGAAAGTGTTGAATGATGCTGAAAGTATTTTCTTTTTGGGGATTTTCTTTCTTTTTTGGGTCACTCTGCCTCAGTAGGAGACGGCTGACTTTGGGAAAAAAAAAAGCCTGTGGAAAAGAAGCCTTCCTCTGTAGGTCATGCGTGTCATATGTGGCAACTAAAATACCAGGAGCAGTCTGGCAGATGTTGCAAATGTATGGAATATATAGTAGGTTACTAAAAACAGTAAAGAGTTTTTATACAGATAGCAAGGCTCAGGTTAAGGTATGTAGGAGAGAGGGAGGAATGTGGATGGGCCATATGTATGGTGATGTTCAGTGGGTTCTTGAAGAGACAGTGGTTGATTGAATGATAGTGAATGTGTTAACTAGGAAGGAATAATGAATTGCACAAAGGTTTACACACTACCCCTTTTCCCAAAGAAAGTGGTTAACTAAAATTATGTAAATTTTTAATAGCATTTTAAATTTTGCACCAAGACTAATCCTAATATTAATTTGCTAAAATTTACTTGATATAAAATATCATAGCATACCTAACCTTTCTAAGAAACTACGTAACTTTGGTTAACTGTTTTCTGTGGGAGGAGGTGGGGGTGAATATTCACTTGACCTAAAAATAACAATAGCTTTAATGAAAAGACATGCATGCTTTTGATATGGGCATTTTGACTGACAGAATAGAAAGCCTTGCTTTTCCATTCTCCTCTTTTTCCTACAAAATTTCCCCATAATTCTTTTTCTATAAATTTTGCCTTTTAACTAAGATTAAAACTCACACTGCTGCTGTTTCCTTGCCAATGTTTGTATTATTTGTTCTACTGCTTCTGAGTAAATACACTACCTTTAATCTGACTTAAATCTAAATCATAAATTGTTGTCATTTATTAGTTTATTGAAAATTTATTTTAATTTTTATGTAAGGTAAGAAATTCTTAATTTCTCATTAAATCTTCCATTTTCTTGCATAACATTTTATATTTTGTCATTTTTTTTTTACCCTAATGAATCAGTATGTGATTAATTACATCTATTGCCATTATTAAAGTAGTGCTTAATATATTATGATGTAATTTAAACTTAATGATTTTAAAATTTGGTTGTCAGAGTTCTCTTCATGATGCACAATAGATGAAATCTAAATTATCCTTTTCTGTTAGAAGAAAGAAGCAAAAAAATTATGCAAGAGTAATAATTTTACAATTTCCAGCATATGTTGTGTGATATTTTAGCTGAGTTTGATAGCTTAAATCCTCATTTATTGAGAAAATAATTATTTTAATGAGAATTCAGTAATACAGTCTCTCCTTGCTTAATGACAGAGTTCTGTTTCTAAGAGTAGGTCAGTAAACGAATTGGTCATTAAGCGAGGAGCATACTATACTGGTAGTGGGTTTGTGTCAACCATCTTTAGATATTATTTTAATGTCACCTTTGCACCATTTATAAAATTTTTAGTATATTTTTAAATGCTTATACGGTAGTGTACTGTATATTGTAATAAGCAGAATAGAGGAAATCAGCTCTAATACACATTACTTAGGTATGCATACTGGTCAGAGAGCTGGTCATAAGTCCGACTCGTCACTAAACGAGTATGTCGTTAAGTGAGGAGAGACTATATGTTTAACACTTGAAAGTTCCCAGTTATTTTAACAAACTACTATAGCTGTGAAGGGCTTGAACCCATGTCATCTGTGCTCTTGATGTTGGACATATCTTCATTTGTGGGTTCAAATCCTTTGCAGTCACAATTATTTGTTTAAATTGCAATACAGTGAAACCTTGATTTAACTGACTTCAACTTAAAGGATTTTGGATTTAACAAAATCCATTTTCTTCACAAAGTTCAGAAACAGCAGACAACATTTGATAATTTCAGAATTGTCTGTTATTGTCCACTGAATAAATTGATTTCAGATTTAATGGACAAAGTTTGTTAAATTAAGAACTGTTATTGTTACGATCATAGAAAAACAATCTCATTGTTCTGATACAATAGAATTGGCATTACTGGACACCCTCTCTTTCCTATAGTTCAATAAATTGAGGTTTCACTTACTGTGTATTTAAAGAAGACTAAATTGCTTATGATTTTTGTTAAAAAATTTTCAAATATTTCGTAAAATTTTACTCAGAAATTTTCTGACTGTATGTATAACTTGCAGATTTATTCGTCTAATAGAACAACATAATAAATTATTGCGGAATTACACGCAGAATATCGACACTTTAGAACAAGTGGCAGGAATAAAAAATGTCATTCAGTGCCATGGTAAGTAAATATAAATTTCTTTGATAAATGTTGAGAGCTAGTCACTTTTAAAACATTAAAAGTTCAGAATGCAATGTGAACTGCACTTTGTCAGAAGAATTGCACCATAGGTACAGTTCCTACCATATATTTAGTGAATATGGTACTTTATCACGACTCATTTCTTCATGATATTTAGCCAATTTACAAGGCATAACTTATTTTTATTTGGTCTACCTCAAGAACTGTACTACAGTATTATGAATAAAAACTCCTTGAAGACAGAAAATTATCTTTGGCATGCAAATTATTTTGTAGCATGAATATTTTTTTTAGAAAGACCACTTATGGAGAGATTATTTATAAAAATAGTATGTCAGTATGCATGCATGCATTTACAGAGCAGGCTTATGTAAGCATGTTAAATAGGAGTGAATGGAGGCAAGTGGGTTTTAATGGATGTGTAACTTTTATGAAAGGATTCATGGAAACTGTTTAGTCAGATTTGAGTCCTAAAGGTGGGAGGGACAATGCCTACACTCTTGAGGGATATTGCAGTTGAAGGACCCCTACAACATGGAGAAGATCTGGGCCAGGACCTGTCCTGGCAAACCTATCTGAACCTGAAGTTTTGAATAAAATGAAATGATTTGGAGGATAAATGTAACTGTAATGTTTTAACACTTCTGGAAAGATGGTGAGTGAATAAATGATAGGTTTGAATGTTGCAGCAAGGAGGAGGCAGTAGAGATGTCGTGTTTGATGGCAGGTGTGTTGTGTGAAAATGCAGGAAATTTGTAGTTTGAAGATTAGAAGGAGGTGTGGAGTTACCAAAAGTATTATTCAGAGGTCTAAGGAGGGGTAGTTGGAGTGGTTTGAACATTTAGTGAGGATGGATAAAAATAGGATGAATAGGAGGGCATATACATCTGGGGTGGAGGTAAGAAGGGGTAGAGGTCATCCTAGGAAAAGTTGGAGAGAGGGGGGTAAAGGAGGTTTTGAGTACTAGAGGCTTGGACATCCACCAGGTTTGTTTGAGCATTGTAGATAGGAGGGAATGCAGATAAATGGTTTTTATGATTTGAGGTTCTCTTAGAGTGTGAGCACAGTAACATTTATGAAGAGATTCAGGAAAACCTGCTGGACTTGAGTCCTGGAAATGGGAAAACAGTGAAGGTGGTAGAGGGTCATCTAAACTATGATGCCAACATCCTTCTGGTAAGACAGTGAATGATTGACAGTGAAGATGTTTCTTTGTTGGGTCACCCTACCTTGGCGGGAGGCCGCCTGAATTTTAAAAATTGCAGCATTGTATTTAACGGGTGTATCAGGGCATCAGTTTTGGTGGGTATTGGCTAATTTTGGTAGTATCAGTATCAGCCTAAAACTGAGTGTGTGCACTGGTATCGGTATCAGCAAAAACAGTTGGTATTGTCCTTAACCTAGTACAGTATTTAACAAAAAATTACAGTATATGCTTTATCTTAGCATCTATATATGAAAGAGCTAGTGTGAAATACAATTTTTTTGCCAATTCTGCTTAACTTCCATTGATTCAGAAAGGCTTTTATGACAATTATAATTAAGGTTCATCATGTTACTCAAGATTCTAACATTACTACATGGAATTTTTAATGACTCAAAAATTTTAATGCATTCATTAAAAATATCTGACCCATAATTCATTACACCAAAATACACATTTATAAATGGTAAAAGTTTTGTTTTACTTGTGTATGCAGCTACATACTCATAAAAGATCTTCATCCTAGTGAGTGTTCTGTCCTGTAATTGTTTTCATGTGTTTTTTGTAACAATCTTGCATTGAAAAAATTTTAGTAGAAATTTCTCTTGCTTTTATAGGTTCATTTGCTACTGCCACCTGTCAAAGATGTGGTCATAAAGTTGATGCACATGCCATAAAAGAAGACATTTTTTCTCAACGAATTCCCCGATGTACTCAGTGTGCAGAAGATGAAGAGAGAGGGAATGAAGAAAGAACATCAAATGAGCAATTTCAGAACAGATCACTAGATGAGGCCTCAAGTACACAACAGGACACACCACCCATCATACATTTAATGCCTCACAGACCGCCAGGTATGTTAAATTATTGTCACTGGTGCAACTGTTATGTTCTCTTATTAGCACTGTACCTTTTATTTGCATTCATGATTGTTTAGTTTTATTAAATATAAATTAACAGTTTTGCTTAAAGTTTTTCCACTTTTTAGACCGGCCATTTTTTTTCTACCTGTTTTGATGAATTTAAAAGAACCCACTGTGTAATATTCAGAAAAAATTTGTACACAAACAAGTATATACAGGAAGGCCCCACTTATACGGCTGGTTAGGTTCCAGGCTACCGCCGTAAAGTGGAATACCCTTTTTTTCCACTTACAAATGCATACAAACACTAGATAACAAGTTTACACTAACATATATTAAGTTAGCAATAGAACCAGGCATCAAAAAACAATAAAAAAGTACAATACACACATAGTGCACTCATTACTTACCTTAAAATATTTATAGTCTTAATCTAGGGTGAGACAAGTAGTATTTATTGTAAGAAATCAAGTGTGGTATGTATGGTAGTCAGCCAGGCTACCATACCAGGCCAACCCACCCACACATACAATTCTATGATATTTAAGCATCCCAGAGCGATAAAATGTATATACAGTTCACTCATTACTTACCTTAAAATATTATTTTTTTTTTTATTATCACACTGCCGATTCCCACCAAGGCAGGGTGGCCCGAAAAAGAAAAACTTTCACCATCATTCACTCCATCACTGTCTTGCCAGAAGGGTGCTTTACACTACAGTTTCTAAACTGCAACATTAACACCCCTCCTTCAGAGTGCAGGCACTGTACTTCCCATCTCCAGGACTCAAGTCCAGCCTGCCGTTTCCTGAACCCTTCATAAATGTTACTTTGCTCACACTCCAACAGCACGTCAAGTATTAAAAACCATTTGTCTCCATTCACTCCTATCAAACACGCTCACGCATGCCCGCTGGAAGTCCAAGCCCCTCGCACACAAAACCTCCTTTACCCCCTCCCTCCAACCTTTCCTAGGCCGACCCCTACCCCGCCTTCCTTCCACTACAGACTGATACACTCTTGAAGTTATTCTGTTTCGCTCCATTCTCTCCACATGTCCAAACCACCTCAACAACCCTTCCTCAGCCCTCTGGACAACAGTTTTGGTAATCCCGCACCTCCTCCTAACTTCCAAAACTACGAATTCTCTGCATTATATTCACACCACACATTGCTCTCGGACATGACATCTCCACTGCCTCCAGCCTCTCCTCGCTGCAACATTCATCACCCATGCTTCACACCCATATAAGAGCGTTGGTAAAACTATACTCTCATACATTCCCCTCTTTGCCTCCAAGGACAAAGTTCTTTGTCTCCACAGACTCCTAAGTGCACCACTCACCCTTTTCCCCTCATCAATTCTATGATTCACCTCATCTTTCATAGACCCATCCGTTGACAACGTCCACTCCCAAATATCTGAATACATTCACCTCCTCCATACTCTCTCCCTCCAATCTGATATCCAAACTTTCATCACCTAATCTTTTTGTTATCCTCATAACCTTACTCTTTCCTGTATTCACTTTCAATTTTCTTCTTTTGCACACCCTACCAAATTCATCCACCAATCTCTGCAACTTCTCTTCAGAATCTCCCAAGAGCACAGTGTCATCAGCAAAGAGCAACTGTGACAACTCCCACTTTGTGTGATTCTTTATCTTTTAACTCCACGCCTCTTGCCAAGACCCTCGCATTTACTTTTCTTACAACCCCATCTATAAATATATTAAACAACCACGGTGACATCACACATCCTTGTCTAAGGCCTACTTTTACTGGGAAATAATTTCCCTCTTTCCTACATACTCTAACTTGAGCCTCACTATCCTCGTAAAAACTCTTCACTGCTTTCAGTAACCTACCTCGTACACCATACACCTGCAACATCTGCCACATTGCCCCCCTATCCACCCTATCATATGCCTTTTCCAAATCCATAAATGCCACTAAGACCTCTTTAGCCTTATCTAAATACTGTTCACTTATATGTTTCACTGCAAACACCTGGTCCACACACCCCCTACCTTTCCTAAAGCCTCCTTGTTCATCTGCTATCCTATTCTCCGTCTTACTCTTAATTCTTTCAATAATAACTCTACCATACACTTTGCCAGGTATACTCAACAGACTTATCCCCCTATAATTTTTGCACTCTCTTTTATCCCCTTTGCCTTTATACAAAGGAACTATGCATGCTCTCTGCCAATCCCTAGGTACCTTACCCTCTTCCATACATTTATTAAAATATAGGGTGAAATGAGTAGTATTTATTGTAAAAAATCAAGTGTGGTATGTATGGTAGTCAGCCGGGCTACCATACCAGGCCAACCACCTACACATAATATTCTATTACATTTAAGCATCCCAGAGCGATAAAATGTATATACAGTTCACTCATTACTTACCTTAAAATATTTGTAGTCTTAATGTAGGGTCAGGAGTAAGTAAATGAGATAAAACGAAAAAATGAGAGAGAGAAAGAATGAGTGCATGAGAGAGGACAGGCGCAGAGTTATGTAAACAACCAGGCGAAGGTAAGTTTTGAAAAATAAAGTGTACACTTTCTATTTTTGTGTAAAAGTTACATTGTGTACAGGTTGTCTCTACATTGATACGGTGGAATAAAAAAAGAAGAACACTCCCATTCTCTTTGTAACATCATTTTGAAAGAAATGATCTCTGAGTGAAGGCAATGGAAATAAGTCACTTTTGATTTTTTGGGTTTTATCCTAGGTTCTCTCCCACATATGTTGTTATGTATGATAATCTATGTAACTGTATTTTGTGTATACCTGAA